AGAGATGGTTATGGTATTCGATATAAAGTATATGGATGGCATAGATATAAACATTAACCAATGTGTATGTATAGTGATGAAAGTTAGTGTAATTCTAAAATAAGATTGACTACAACCAGTTTATTCAAAGTTTTAATTATTTTACAAAAAAATGTAATCAGTGCTATTAAAATATGATTTTGTGTCGTAACATTAGGGGTTAATAAATCGTTACATTAATACATAAAGGTTTTATTTAATTTAACATCTAATGAGCTGATTGCTGTATTGTTAACAGAATAGCAAAGCAGGTAGGTTACATAGTAGTTTCTTTGCCTCCACGTCTGTAATAGGTATATACGTACATTTTGTTGTTTTATTATACCTATGTGCTTATTTATGGCACATAATCCTGTTACAGATAAGGCTCTAGTTGTTAGTATCTATTTAACGACTCTAACAAAGTAAGTGTGCAGAAAAAAAAAACAGACGAGATAAGGACTACATGTTTTTGTTTTAATTGCTGGGTGTTAAGTGCTTACTTGTGCTTTACGGCGTTAATAAAGCAGTTTATAGAAGAAAATTAATTAAAAATAAAAAAGGGCAGATTTAATTTATTAAAAATATCAACAAATTTATCGTAAAGCGTTGTTTTTTAAGTTCAATTAAAGGTGCTGGGTGGTGCAGAGCTTAGCGTATTCAGTCTGCAATGCAAAGTTAATAGGACCTGTATGACTGAAATCTTTTATCTCAAGTTCTTCCGTGTCACAGAAGGAATGCAAGATTGGATATTTTCATTAGATGGGTCTTATCACGTCGGCCTTTGTGACCATTAGCCTACCTACGTAAGATGGGTTTTTGAGAAAATTTATATACATAATTAAGTTTTCGTCTCGTTCAGCTTCAGTTCTACTCTTAACGCCCTACAGTTTTTTCTCTTTAATAATGATTTTTCGCCTCACATATATCAGAACTATCAGAGCTCCAAATGAGACCAAACTATGACCATGTACCACGGCAGGTGCAAATATCCATAGATCATTACCGATAAGTTATTTTTAGATATAACCATCACCATTTAACAACCGGTTAAAAATACCACATTTTGTTGCACCAATTTCGCTGTCAATGAAACGTGTTTTTAAGATAAAAAACACTTTATTCTTCATCGATATAGTTAAAAATAATAATTTATCACCAGTATAATGTCATTGTTGATCACACAACATAATTCCTTTTGTATTCTAATTTTTAAAATATCACAGATCTGTAATAAAAAATCTAATTCTGAATAATATCGTCTCAATAGTGTATAAATATGGAGAGAAAACGAGACAACATCGCGACATGTAGTAATCATCGTCAGGTTATACAAAACTAACTAATTTCTTCAATCGTTTTCAATATTTAATCTTAACATAACAATGTTAAGATTTAAATCTATACTAATATTATAAAACTGAAGAGTTTGTTTGTTTGAACGCGCTAATCTTAGGAACTACTGGTTCGAATTGAAAAAATCTCTTTGTGTTGAATAGACTATTTATCGAGGAAGGCTTTTAGGCTATATAACATCATGCTGCAACTGTTAGGAGCGAAGAAATAATGGAAAACGCGGACGAAGTCGTTGGCGGCCACTAGCAACTATATAAAGGAGACTGAAACAACTATATCAGATATAATTATTAGATTCTAACTTATATTTCCCTCACTGAAAATTCTGTGAGTTTTGATAACTTAAGCCTAAGCCGTGTTATTACAGATTTAGAAAAAGTATTTAAGTGTTGTTGTAATATCTAACAGCAATTTCTGAAGTGCTATGATATTTTTTTGTATACTTAAGTTTATTTTATATTATTTTTTTTTCAAGTTAGGAAGGCAATCAATCCGTACGGGTACTGGGTGTGGAGCACTCCCTGCTCCCAGACCATTCCCCCAAAAGCGAGGGTGCACGGAGGGCGTTTAGTGGGTATACCAACCGCGTTATGACTAGCCTTCGGGTGGGTCGTGGGTGGCCTCTGCCACCTTACAATGCATAATATCATTCCCCTACGTAAAAAAAATCATTCCGTAAAAAAGGTATCTAGAAGTCGTAGAAAAATAACTATTCAAAAAGTACTCAAATCGCAACATATTTGCATTATACAATATATAAAAATGTAAAATCCCCCCTCCCTCGGTGTGCCCATTCAAATGACTTAACATTAACATTAAAATTTACCATTGAGCTATTTCTACAATGTGAGACGGCACACAGCGAAATCCTCAGATAGCTAACTGGCAATTAGCGATCCTATCATTATGTTTAATTAGCATTAAACTACGCCGTTTATTCTCATAATTACTTATAGTCATTGAGCCTATCAATGTCCTCCTGCACAGTACTGGGAAGCAACGGTTTAAAATACTCCGGAGGCCTATAGCAAATCAATTAAGAATAAGTATTTTTAAGTTAACCCACTGAATAATAAGATGCTTTACGAGATGCCGACTGTTTAATTAAAAGCTGATTGAATTTAATGTTGATTATTACTTGATCTGAGAAACTCGATGGCACATTAGTAGATTTATTTTACCGTGGATGGGTGACCAAAATTTTATTATCTTGAGCTCCTCCGTGCTTTGGAAGGCACGTGAAACCGTTTGTTCCGGCTGCATCTGACACCCACCAATTTGCACTGGGTCCGCGTAATGCTTATTCTCCTTTTGTTTCTGTCCATAGCGCATAGCTAGGCATAACATAATTGTAGAGATAGTATTTATTCTTACAATTAAACCTTCAATTCGTGATGTAACACAAACAGTTTGTAAACTTTTTTTTATTTTTTCTAAGTTTCTTTCTTTGGGTAGTTTCAGAGAAAGACAGACAGAATGAGCTTCAATGGGCTCTATTTTCTTTTTGATATGCGCAACCACTATAGATAGTTTCGCTTAGAGAGGGATTTAGCAGAATTGTCTGAAAAATTTGTTAATTTAATAGTCATTTTTTCTTAACTTATAGGCGTCGCTGGTATATTTTGTGAGCATGTGAACACATTGTTTATTTAAGAATAATAAATCAGCTATAAATGCAATGAATAGCACTAAATTATATCACCATATCTTTATCTATTGAAATAGAAACAAAATGGCGGGTTTATATAGTCAATTTATTGACAGACGTTTCCTTTCATACTCAGATATCAGTCAACTCTAAGAGTTAATTTAAACTGACGGATGTTTATTAAATTTTCTTGTTATTATTATAAATGTATTCTAATTAAGGTCTAATGATATGATTTAAACGACAAATGTCGAAAGACAAACTTATAAATTGTAAAGACATTCCTTTCATTATTTATTTATATTTCTTATTTCATTATTGCGAAAATGTATAAAGCGATTCGATTTACGATATTATAATTGTGTAAATTCGTGCTGGTCTACTCAATAAACACTATAATAATAGATAAAGAAAATGTGGTGGAAATCGTAATACAAAGTTATGCCCATACTAAATGTCTAATATAACTCTATTATAGATTTCAACTTATTTAATAACGCTTCATGTGGGAAAACATGCCATCGTAAGTCAATTACTAAAGACTTTTGCTTTTGTTTAAGTTTTTTTTTGTGTTCACAGTAATCTGCACAGCGGCCGCCTAGCCCGCCGCCTAGCTTTAACTCTAGCCATAGGCTACTACATCTCAGCGATGTTATGGCGATATTTCGTCTAATTATAGTATTTTGACATTTACTTTAATAACGACGAACGAATGATAAAGAATGGATGAATATGAATTTGACAGCACTGTTAGCAACTTAGTCGTTTATGCCAAATTTAACCTCCAAATGGCACGTAATAGTAACATAATGAAACAAGATATCGTCATAATATTCACGAAGATTTCATATCTTATCTAGGTCTAATTTCATTATGTGACCGTACAATAGTAAACAAATTTTGAAAAATTCATTTTCATCTTTAGTTTTGTAGCATTTGAATTGAAAATTGGCTGAAAAAAGTACGTTTCTAATTTTAAAACAACAAAATTATTGATTTAATGGTTGGCTCAAATAGAACTAAACACAAAGGTTAAAACACTGTTTCTACTATTGACAAGTAAATTAATAACCGACCGTAAATCGATACAGTGACCTACTGACATTTGAAAATATTGAAAACAGTATGTTATTGATTTTACTTAATTAAATACACGTCCTTGCCCGACAGATTCCGCACACGATCACATAAAATATTATTAATGCGTGATCTAATGGGCTAGTTTTTTACACTGACGAGTTGTAAAGCCATTGACATACCAAACACGGCCATAGATTATTTGACGTAAATAGAACATACGTTTAAGAAAATAGAGTTGTTGCCACGTATCTATAAAACTTGTATCGCGTCCGTTTATTTTATTGCATTTTTATTGAGAGCCATTTTTATTACGAAAGTAAACAATACCGAGGTATGTTCTACCTCGTGTGTTCATAAGTTTTGAGGCAAACTTTTACTGAAAAAATAAAATAAAATGTTATTGGCTGCCTTTTTTTGTCTGCATGGGTTAAGATCCCTTTGTCTTAAATGAAATTATTACTATTAAATGCCTTCATTGTTTCAGATATCCTATAACATAGGATTAAAATGAAAAATAAACAAACTTTCAAACAAACACAGCAAAAATCTCAGGCTTCTCCCTAGAAACCGACGTGATGATATGTATGTATGTAAAAAATACACCAATCTACATACCTCATTTTTAATTGAGGTACAATATCTTTTTTGGAGTACATTCTCTATCGTTTATAGTATTTGTTACTTGGTACCAAAGTAGCAGTGTTTCACAAAAATGACGTCATTCGACGGAATATAAGTTAGACAAAAGTTTTTCCACTTCGGCCGCACCCGAATCGCTATGGCTGTGACGTCACAGAATCTGGGTCATCGTAAAAATGAAAAAGTTCGAAATAAATGTTTGAAATAAAAAAAATATTTGTTTACCTACTTTGCTTTTTTATTAATTACTATCACTTACCATAAATTATCGAGTGATGTCATGAGATCATTTTCGAATACTCTGACCAGAGTTATCTGTAGACAAAGAGAGAGTATTATAAGATTTTTTTAGGTAACAAAAAAAAATGCTTACTTCAGTTCAAACAGCCATTACGCATATAGAAATATACTAAAAACATGATTTAGCATTTCTGAATGCAAAATGTAAATTCGATAAAGGTTTTTAATTTTTGTATGTTGGTACATTAATAAGAAACAGACAGATGATGTAGTACAGCCATTCTCAAAATTTTTTTTGGAATCTTAATATTTATCTAGAATTCAAAAATTAAACTTCCTTTTTTCTGTTTATAATTTACAAATGTGTTTTTATTTAGCTGTGATTATTTCCCGAAATAATATGATATTTTCGTGAACCATATTATATGTTTTGCGCACAGAGTACATACACTATGAGACTCTGATATAGTCAATGTTGGCGTATTTAGAGAAAGGAGTTATGTGAAATCCTTTCATAACAGGAATTAAGAATAATTCTGCTAATAAATACATATAATTGATAAGTTCAATTTTCTTAATTCGGAAATAGGCTTCTAGTGTGATTAATTTAACTAATGAATCCTAATTTAGCGTTAATTTACAATACGTCAAATTAATTACACCACTAAGTGTCAAGTTCTATAAACACAAAATTATTTATTGTTTTAAATTATAATAAATTATAGTTGTCTCTTGGAAATTTATGTTCAGCTTGAATACATTAGAATTAGGTAGCCATTTCCATAGTTTGTATTTTGGATACTGTTGTAATGCTCTAACAAAAGGCTGTGTTAGCATACATTTGGGTGTAGATCTAGCAAATTTACATAAACACTATTCATATAAAAAAACCCTTGTACTGATAGAGTGTCAAGTTTCATAGATGGGGAGACAAAGTAGATATGTATACATAAATAAAATAAATAAGTATGTTGATACGTATATGTTGTTCGATAACTATCATTGTATTAATTTGATTATAAAGGTGTCTAGGATCGTCTGTTTTTGTTTTTGACATTAACATATGGTTCTTGTTCTTATGATTGATTGACACGTGCTTTGGCGAGAACCTTTGCTTTGTATATAAGTATTTGTGAAAATAAGCTGTTTATTTTCGCACCTGTGCCCACACCATTCCTCGTCACCCGCTTCGTCAATAACGAATGGTACTACAAACCTCCACACTTATAAAGTCGAAACAAATGTTGTTGGCTTCGTTTTAGTTGACATTGGATTCATTCGAAATGCCTCCAACGTTCAATTCTGATGAACGTTGTATAAGTTTTGTTGAATCACATTATTTTGATTCTCTAGCTAGATCCCCTTAGCTAAATCCCCGTTTAGACATAGGCCTTCCATAAAGGTGGAATCATAAGGAGAATGGGTTATTACCCACCACGCGGGCCCACGCTTTAGTGGGTGTTAACGGGCCCTTATGAAAGTTACTCGACTTCGTGTTCGTTGGTGTAGTAGTAGTTAACTACTACGAACTCGTAGACAAGCTGGATTATTTTTACAAAAAACAAACTTTTACTGTTGGAAACTTCAACCTTAACTTGTCTTACGCCATGTTAAAGTGCACAGGCAGGCACTTTTGAATAGATCCAATGTCTTTTTTATCAATTCAATTAATAAGTGTTACGCCATTGAGTCTCAATTACTCGCCATCGAACTAGAATCAATTACGATACAAACTGCAAGGTTTTATAAATTGATTTTATTTTCATTTGTCGCTTGCGTATCTAAATTCGTGACAAAATCAGTTTGTTCAACAAACTCTAATGGGACTTTTTATTTTAATTATGTACTCATTTGGGTTAAATTATTCCGAAATTAAAACTGTCTCTATATTTTCATGCACGCCTCATATTTGAGAGAACGTCCATTAAAAAAAAAACAATATTAATATCTACACTAATATTATGAAGAGGAATTACTTGATTTTTTATTTGTTGAGGCACCAAATTACTGGATTTTAAATATTCTTTCAGTTACAAGAACCTCATCATACGCGAGTAACATAGGCTATAATAATTTCGGAAATTTTTAGGGTTACTTTATCAGTTACATTTTTTTAAAGCTTCAAACGGCTATTAAATCTTTCAAATCAATATCACCTCGCGTTCTCAAAATGATCTCGTAAAGTCTCTATGTCAGAGACACAGATTGACATATAAGGATTACGACTTTTGAGTTACGAACCCTATAAAACTACATTATTAAGTCCTTAGCTTAAAAACTGTTATTTACTTTTAAGTAAGTTACATTATTTAAATATAGATTATATTATTTATACAAGACATTGTCTTATTTATTCTTACAAAGTATAATCCGACACGGTTTACACCACAATTCAAGTACATATCATTAGAAAAATCTAACACAAAAGATATCTTGCATAAAATCGTCGATCTGTGCCATGGCCAATAAATACCGACTCTAATTTATTCCGTTATCTGCGATCGAGGCGGTAATTTTATCATTTTGTCTTTTAATTACTATAACACGGGACCCGAATGACAGTTAAACTCGCGAGTTACTAATAAACCAGTTTACTTTGACCTCCCAGTTGCACATAACCTTATTATTTATTATATCACAGCTATTATGTTGTGTGCAGTTATAGATAAGCAGGGGCTAGATGGTTAGTGCGTTTGGTTTACGATGTGGAAGTTAAGCATTCCTCGCAAGGGCCGGTCGTAGGGAGGGTGACCAAAAATGTTTTATCTTGAGCTCCTCTGTGCTTCAGAACCCACATTGGGCTCTCGCGCAGATCATGCACCATACTTTTATATAAACAAAGTTTTAATGAAAGGGACCAACCATACACCGTTTTCGTTTTGATTTGTTTCTGTCCATTTGGAAGGGCTTGTGCCCCAGCAATGGAGATATTATTAGGCTGATTAAAAGGATGAATAAAACCTCTTTAATGTTCAACTTCATGGTCAAACTTCTACGATTGGCCGAACATTAGTAACGATAAATTCAAAAGCTTTCATGTAAGACATTTCCTACAAAGTGTTTATATTTACTGTTTTCATTACAAAAAAGATATATATATATGACATCAATGTCATCGAAATATTATTTAGTTTTTTTAATTTTAAATTACAGTTAATTTGAATTTTTATTTATGGCGTTCACAACCAATTTCATTTTAATGCTTCAGGCATCCACTTAATTAGTAGCTTCTAAGAAGGCGGTTGCGTTCTAAGAAAGCGGTGGGGCCTGTACACGTTGGTTATTATATCACATTTGACATATCTAGAGCAAGATTAATATTACAAAACGTTGCGTTTTATAATTGTTTGTTATACTAGGTGGACATTGATATATTACTTTTACGTTAGACGTATGTTTGGACATTGGCTTTATGTAGATGACACGTTATTAATCTTGACGTTAATTATAAACAAATTTAGCTTTAAGTTATCTATCCTTTTATGGCCACGACATCTAATAAACTTTGTGTAAATAAATAACTATATAATTGCTAAGTACTCTACCACAAATAATTATTATAATGAGACCGTATATCTAATAATGCCAACACTTTGCCTACATCGCGCTAACAAAGATTTTACTGTTACTATTATAACCTCATTTACATGATAGCTTATTCATAATCATGCCGCATATGTACGATGAAAGTGCGAAGACTTGATTTGCACATCACACGTTTTACCAAATATGGATAGGTGTATGGGCTTTTCTCTCCTCATACATTGTGGTGAGCATAACGTCGAGATTACTGTGTGACTCCAAGTTTCACCAAGATGTGAAACGCCATAGTCTATGTCTGGTTTCAGACATTCAACTCGTGGTTATGTTCATGACAATCCAGGAGACTTGTCTTTTTGGGTTGAAGTCAAGCAGTCTTTCTAAACCCATACCTACACTCAACGATTTTAAAAGTAAACAGAAACACCAGATTCTCCAATTTTTGTCTTCCGAAAATCTTACATTTTTTCAAACACATTACCAGGACGACGGGGGACGATTTTGTACAACTAATTGTCACTGGTCCTGTGGACGGAAAAAGGGCCAGTAGCCCAACACACAATAGACAGATTTTCTGCCATACACTATCCATCCAGATTCACGATGCAATGGAAGCCGCACGAAGTCAGAATAATAAGAAGATCATAACCTAGAGACGACTTAGTTTTCGGACACTCAGGTTCATTCTCAAACGGGATTCGGAGGAGGAGGTAACATTCTCCAAGTGCGTAGTGGCATCCATTTGATTTCGGAAACTGCTTTTTTCTTGAATAAAGTATTCATTGAAGACTTGTTCAAATCTTTTTGTACCTAATTGTATATATTCAGTTGTTCAGATGGAGTTCATCGGTCTGTATGCATAGTAACATATTCTTTGACTAGTCCGTCATAAATCATATAGTAGCGTGGCACGTGCCCACCCACACGTACACGTAAACCAGGTATGTCGACACAATGTTGTTATTTTTATTACAGACCACCAAATGTAGAATAGCAGTAAATTTTAAATGACACATTCACTCTAAAACTGTACAATTTGTTTCTGAAAATAGGTTGCCGTTAAATAGTTTGTGTCTGTGAATTATGTAATTATTGTAAATGTTAGGGATCACTTAATTACACGGGTGATTGACAAATTATAATGGTATAATATTAGAAACAGTTTGGAAGATTCATTTTATTACACGCAGACATTGGATGACCTGGCGTACTATGTATACATAGTTGGCCAAAAAGTCTTTTAATTGTGACTACAGTTTCTGTCAGACCTAACTGTGGTTTAAATATTGACTTTTCTAACGGAGTTTAGGTGCTCGGTTATTATGACGTATTATCTGTTATCGTAGATAACTGACATTCGAAGTAATAGTCACACGCATAATTTACTGCAAGGAGAAGTCGACCTTGTTGTTTCTTGATAAATGAACCTTAACCGTATGTTGAATATTTAGATTGACTTTATAGATATAAAAAGTCTAAGTCGCCCGTCTCAAAAATCCCCAATTTATAGTTGCGATCCACCTAATCGCATAAGA